CTGGGAAGATGTGCCAAATACATGAATGTCGAGGAGGCCGAAGCCGATTACTTGCAAAGCGTGAAGATGACTCAAGCCGACAATCGAGACGATAGGAAAGAAAAGAAGTCGACAGGAGACAGAAGAGGGTCCCCGAGGGCCGACAGGGGTGAAGGCAGGTCTAGAGGATGGAGACCAACTCAGTACACACCTTTGTCGGCTCCCCATGCGAGAATTTTGGAGGTTATGGAAAGGGAAATCCGCGACGATGTGGTGAGATGGCCGCGGACGAGGAAAGATGGACCGCTGAAGCCCAAAAGCAACTTATACTGTCGATTCCACAAAGACTATGGGCATAACACTGACGACTGTCGACACTTGAAAGACGAAATTGAAAGACTGATAAAGGCGGGCCACTTAAAGGAGTTCATATACAAGGACCGAGAAAGGACGAGCAGGAGACGAGAGCGAAGTAAGAGCCCTCGCAAGAGGGCGAGATCGCCGGAAAAGGAAGAACTCCCACCGAAAAGAGAGTCATTAACATGATCTTTGGAGGGTCGACTGATGGAGACTCAAATCGAGCAAGAAAGGCCTATGCTCGGGGCAGACATGCAAAAGTCGAGGTACAACAAGTCGAGGAAAGCGGACCAGTAATGAATTTCGGACCAGCAGATGTCGGTGAAGTCGAAAGGCCGCATAACGACGCCCTGATGATAACAGCACAAATATCAGGATACGAGGTGCAACGAGTGTTTGTCGACACAGGGAGTTCGGTAAACGTGATTTTTTACGATTGCCTCAGAAGGATGGAGCTCGACATTGAACTGACGCCCCTACACACATCGCTCTTCGGATTCAACGGCTCAGAAGTCGCTCCCCTAGGAGAAACCATGCTCGCTGTCGTCCTAGGGGAGGGTGACTTGAGAAAAGTCAAAATGGTAAGATTCGTTGTGGTTGATGTCGAGTCGGCTTATAACGTAATCCTGGGGAGACCTGCGCTCAACGCATTTCAAGCTGTTGTGTCAACCTATCACATGAAGCTGAAGTTCCCAGTAGGAGATCGAGTGGGAGAAGCTCGAGGAGATCAAAAGCTGTCGAGAACATGTTACCAAATCGCAGTCAAGACCAATCAGCGTGCCGAAATCAAAGAAGGCAAAAAACCAATGAGCGAGAAAAGGCCGAGGGGGAGTGACCTCGAGCCTCACGGAGAACTGATGGAGATCCAAATTGGGGAGTCAAAAGAACAAACCACCAAAGTCGGGAGGGATTTGGAAGACGAATTGCGAGAACAGTTGGTGGGGTTGTTGAAAGAATTCAGGGACATATTCGCCTTTTCACCCGAAGAATTGACTGGAATCGACCCAGAAGTGATGGAGCACAAACTCAACGTCGATCCCCTCAGAAAACCCGTGAAGCAGCGACTCAGACACCACGGCGCTGAAATCGACAAAGCAATCGAAGTCGAGGTGGATAAGTTACTGAAAGCAAAGCATATCAAGGAGATCCAATTCCCCGAGTGGATATCCAATACAGTTATGGTAAGGAAGGCATTGAACAAATGGCGTATGTGCATCGACTTCCGCGACTTGAACCTGGCGTGCCCTAAAGATCATTACCCCTTGCCAAGGATCGATCAGCTAGTCGACTCCACGGCTGGCTGCGAGTTGTTGAGCATGATGGACGCGTCGCAGGGATACCATCAAATTCCTTTGGCACCGGA